AAATAACTATCAGGTGCTGTCAAACACAAACGGTGTATCTAGACATGCACTTTACTGCAAAGTAGATTAGCTGCCCAGTAAAGTGTCACCATCCAAACGTGCACCGGTATTAGGGTGCAGTAAACTAATTAACTCTGCTGTAAGATAGTAACATCAGGGAAATGCATGTATAGATACACATGTAGATTAAATCAATTTGTAGATGGTGACCATGGGTGTAAATTACTCACAGTCAGCCCAGCCAGCTGGGGGCCTGCTCTGCCCCAGCTCAAATTGCTGCTGTCCAGGGTGCATGTGTAGACACTGCACCTAGGAGCAGTTAACTCCAGCTCAAACTGCTTCAGAGTTTATTGCTTCACACTAATTGAATGTGTAGATGCACCCAAAGTAAACACACTGAAAATAAATATAATTTTTCCTTTATACCCTTACAGATGCACTAAGCAGAAATAAACTGTTCCACTGAAGTGGGATTTTTAATTTCACTGTGGGTACATCTACATGAAATTTACCGTACAGTTGACTAATTAACTGTGCAGTAAACATCTCAGTGCCTACACATGCATCCCTATTCGGAGTCGCAAAGCGAATAAATTGCAGCAGAGTAGGACTTGTAAATACAAGTAGTATTTACAGGCCCTACCCTCCTGCAGAGATTTTTCATGCACAGCAGCACATGTAGACACTGAGTTGGCTGGCTGGGGCAAGAGGGTACTTCAGTGCAGAGGCTGCCTGCCAGCTAGCTCCACACTGAAGCACCCTCATGACCCAGCCAGCACCTCTGCAGCACACTGAACCTGGTCGACGTAGCCCTGGGCTGGCATGCTGACCCCCCTGGATCCCCTGTCAATCGGGACTGCTGCGACCCAGCTCAATGTGCTCCCAGTGCTCCAGAGCTTATTGCTCCGCAGTTTATTGCTGCATGTTAATGGCTTGTGTAAGATGCACCCTAGGCACTTATACATATGCTTCAGGGGCGGGGTGGGGGGATGGCGGCGCGGCTCTTTAATTAGAGCGGCTGTTGGAGCTGCTCTAATTAAAGTGCTGCCATAACTCCTGTGTTGGTGTCCCCGCACTTAAAAATGGTGGCATGGGTGCTTGAACTAAAGCTCGTCAAACGTTTAATGAGCTTTATTTAGTTCAAGCGCCCCAATGCCATTTTTAAGCATGGGGATGTTGATACAAGAGACACAAGAGGCTGCTGGAGTATGGCAACTGCCACTGTCCAGCACACTCAATTAACTGTGTCTGCTCTGACACGCTGTAATTCTATTTTATTTGTTAGCATTACATTTTATATACTGTAGTACATCTTTTTGTAGTTCATTCGAAACAAAATTACTTGATTTCATTTCATGTCATGTTGTCATAACCTAAAACGATGTCTTAGCTTATGATGTCAGACAAGCTCAATCAGCCTGGTCACAATTAGGACTAGCAAGTTCATGTGTGCAAGGAACTGCACTTAAAGAACAGTACAGACATTTTAGGACCTGAAGTTTAGCTGATAAAATCAGTATAGCTCTGTTAAGTCAATGGAGCTACACTGACTTACCCCAGCTGAGAAATCGGTCTTAGGTTGTCCTACTGTGATCTCCTTCCACAGCTGGATTACAAAGATGAGCAGTTAGGTTCTGATCTTTGCTCCTGACTAACTTGCTATGAAATCTCAGGCAAATCAAAAGATACATTAATCCAATGAGCACCTTTACTGAAGAAAGCTGGACAACTCAAATACTAGGCACTATTCATTCTGTGTAAAGGCAGGAGGCTCTTAATATTTGAGAAGTGTATTGGAGATTCTTATGCAGAAAGCACTGTTTAAGTATTATACATTATTTTTATTATAGGACCTTGTAGCCACAATCTCCCTCCACACATCCGAGGCTAGCTGGTCTTTTACATAATATTCCAGGGTCAGGTTGAGCAAGTTGTAATGAGGTCAAAGTACTTGCATGAATTAAAACAGTAAGTTAATGGGTCTGAGAGGATTAAAATCAAAGATTTTCCTGACAGAGATTTATAATTAGAGTTAGCTTGTATATTTCTTTACACCCTTCAAGAAGAATAGTTACCTCCTAAAGAAGTATATTTTAAGAGTATAGGTATTATAGAGTGAAACTGCTAAAGTAGAAGACCTTACCTAACTTAACTTATTGTAAGAAGAATTAGCATAACATAATATACTTATGATTAATGTTTAATTGCACTTTTCACGAATTACCTGCATTATTTCTGCTGAAAGACACACCCCCTCCAATAGATCCTAGTGGTTTGGAAAGTAATGGATTGTTCCAGGTTCCATGAGATCCTTCTTTATTGGTGGATACTAAGGAGATGTTCTTAGGGTTTACACCTTAGAAAATACATTATTTTACACAGAGTGAATATCAACTTCAAGGAATAGCTTATAAAGCAGTTCAAATCTAGAGACTGGAACACTCCTTTACAGAATGTTAAATGTGTTTAACCTTTAAAACGAATCACAAAGAACTGAAACTTGTTTTACTGTAAATTAAAGAGTAATGTCAACTGCTTTGATCAGGTTATATAAGCAAACCCTGAAGAAGTCCAGCATATAGAGAACTGTAAAGATCAAGTGTTCACCAGTGTTATGATATGTAATAACTACACAGACTACATAGATCTTATCCTTGTATACAATACAGTAATAATGTGCTAACATAATTAATATGGGCTACTACATAAACTAAATGAAAGTCAAAGCATCAGAAATGAGAGATGTTTTTATGGAAATCAAGTGATTATTAGTAATATATGTAGTTAAATTATATGCTGCCAAGTGCAGCAATACCGTGATGAAGTATAACACTGTTAAGTAAAGTTACACCCAGAAAAGTGGTACATCAAATATTAGTTTTCATCCCTAGGAAGGCTAAACAGGTATTTCTTCAAAGGAAAAATTTAAAACTAGAATGGGGAAGTCCCAGTTAGTTCAGCATGATGGGTACACTGAAAGAGTTAGATAAAATTAAACATCATGAAAGCAGCTTCTAATTTATTTGCACAAAGATAATATAGATAAATGCATGGATGTCCAAAGTGTAGGACTAGAAAAAATATTAAGAACATACGAAGCACCATACTAGGTCAGACCAGCATTTCATCTAGACCAGCATCCTGTCTCTGACAGCAAAAGAAGTGGTCACTATACAGCGAGAGCATTGAACTGAATATCTCTGGAGTGATCTATTGCCTAATTCAATACCTTTTGTGGCACCCACGATTATTGGTTTAGAGATGCCAGAGGGAACATCTCTAACTATTCTGGTCAAATAGTACGAATAGTGCTAAATAGTATTTAAAAAATACCCCTGAGGTGGTGCTAATATTTTCTTACATGATGCAATCATTACTCTTTGAATGAAGAGAGAAATTCTTCATATCAACAATATGGCTGTGAACAACAGAATCTTTAGAAAAGTGGTTGGAAAAGCTGAGAAATGAAGAGTGCTTCATATCTTAGTTATTTGTAAGTAAAGAATTGTTTTGTAAAAACTTGACTCTTGGAGTTGCTACCTGATATTAAGGAACTGATTCACCTTTGTGCCCCAAGAGAGGAATTCATTAGGGAAACAGCCAGTATATGTTGTCCAAAGTGTATGACTGAATGACTTGTTTGGTAACCAAGAACTCCTTTTCGGGGGGGGGGGGAGTGTTGCAATAACAGTCTAAATACATTCACAGTTCCTGTTTTAACACACTGGAGTAGTGAGGAAGAGATAGTGTGACATCAAGGAGATGATGGTGATGATTATTATAATAGAGTAACTTCAGATAACTGCTTATATATAAATATTTTCCCTTTCTAGTCTTCCTCATGACAATTTAAAAAGCTGACGAATGTTCATGTTAATTGTCAGAAGAAAGTTTCCAGCATTAAACTTAGCTTTTTCTAGACTTTAGTGGGAGCAAAACAGTGATTTCAGGGGACAAGTACTAAGTTGCCTTCATGTCTGAATTTCAGATAAAGCAAAAATCATTCTGAGATTAAGTTGGTACAAAGGTGATTTTGAGAGGCAGCCTACGAATTAGAGGGAGTGGTGCAGGTCAGTGAGGACATAGTGAGTCCACACTAACTGAGACTGTTAATGGCTCTCTACAGAGGAAAGATAGTAGTGGTTATTTCAGAAGCCATTGTGAAATCAATGCTCAAGAAACTGTCAGCGTCCAGAGTCAATCTGACAAGATATCAACAGTTTCTAGAGACTCCAAATTTCTTTAAACTTGGTCACAATTTAGAGATGAGGGAATTTGATAGAAAATGGACTAGTTAACAGATTATCTTCTCTTGCCAATGGACAAAGATGAAATGTCTGTGCTTATTTGGGTCTTTCATCAGGTTTGGACACTAGTGATCATGAGCAGGTACATGGAGTGAACTGCCACAGTACGCAAATGGTGCTAGGAGCTCCCCTCCTCCATTCAGCCTGGCTCATCTCTGGGGTTCCTCAGCACTGCATGCCCAAAGAACTGGAACGGTGTTAGAATCCAACTCTGAAAACTTAGTTTAGTTCAGACCTATCCAACTTCTGCATATCACTTTCCCTGGGACACTTGAGTGCTGCTGCGCTCTCTCTCCCCCTACTACAGTGGCAGGCAACCCCCCCTGTTTCCCTCAGCCCCGAGCTACAGCTACAGCTACAGCTCCCTTACAACTGGAGGGTGGAAGGGGAGCCTGGAGACCCAAACAACAGTAGCAGGAGATTGAGGGAGGGAGCGGTGCTAGACTAGAAGCCCAGGGGCTATGGGTTAGCCTCTCAGGGACTAGATGCGACCTACAAGCTGCCAGTTGAACAGCCCTTCTTAGTTGATGAAAAGTAATATTATCCAAACTAAAGACATGCTATCACTTATAGACACTTTACAACTTATATGATATAAACATTCTTCCCCTTACCAGGAAAATACCTTGCTTGTCTCAGGTAGTATTGTTTTGCTGATGTATTAGATATTCCAGAATCATTTCTCATCAGAACCTTGTTTTCCCCTCCTGACTGGATACAACATGAGGCCTTTGGCTCTGGCACACTGAAAATCAAGATAGTCAGATAACTTTATGCTTGGAATGATAGAAATTTACACTAGCAATGACTGAGGGAACCTGATTCTACTCCAATGGAAATAAATGGCAAAATTATCTGACTTAAGTGGGAGCCGCATCAAAGCATGCGTGAGAAAAACATATCCCGCTTCACTTCAAGAGTTGCCAGCACAATGTACCTGGGGACCTGCAAATGCTTAAATCGTGTCTCTGAAGCCCAACAGATACAAACAGGTTGCTAGTGACACAACAAGTGTGACATGCAAATATCTACTGACTAGGTAAAATAAATTGGAAATGGGTATGTTTTTTACAAGAATAGAGGAATACTCTAGATGAAGCCTAACTAGCCCCAAGCAGTGGTACTTTTACATTGTAAGAGCTCTCCCCATAGACTCACTGCATACTACATTTTACCCAATAAAACACATGAAATAATGAAGACATGATCCCAAAATATACTAATTTGGGGTGAAATCCTGTAGTGGTTCCATGGAGGAGCCATATTATTGCCTTGCATTGATGCAACTCTACAGAAATTAGTAAGGCTGGTACCAGCGTAAAGAAGAGACTGTGATTCTACCAATATTTTCATTGTATTCAACCACAAGCTACATTTCAGGTGTCAAACACACACAGGGAGTGTCCAGACAAGTGCGAACGTGCCTCATGCAGTGTCTCAAACTCCCCCGAGCTGCCAGACAGTGCCTGGCACCACAGAGCACCCTGCCGAGCCACGCTGCACCCACACAATGCAGCAGCGGCAGCACGGGTTCCAAGTGGCTGGGGCCAAGGCCCACTGCCCTGTGCGGTGGCCTGTGCTATGAGGCCCTGAGCTCCTCAGTCGCTGCTGCCGCTGCTGGTAAACCTGAATCCGCTCCAGCTTTCTGCTCATCTCCAGCCTCCTGCTCCTTCCCCAGCTCATCTCCAGCCTCCTGCTTGTTCCCCTACTCGTCTCCAGCCTCCCAAAGCTGGAGAAGAGAAGGGGAACGAGCAGGAGGCTGGAGACGAGTAGAAGAATGAGTGGGGGCCTGAAGACGAGTAGGGAAGCTAGTGGGGGGGAAGAGCTCTGGGACCTGGGGAGGGCTGGGACCCTGTAGGCAGGGTAATCCATATGCTGTGGGGGGGGGGCTGTACCCTCTGGGAGGCAGGGGACCCACCCTTCCTATGCACTCCCCTCCCAAACAGTCCCCCCACACCTACCCACACACTGACCCACATCCCCCCACAAGCCTCCACAACCACCCTCACTCGTCCCCCCTGAAAACCCCACATCCCCCCATCACAGACCTACCATGTGATAAGCAGGGATCCCCCCCATCCCTGCTGATGACCCCAGTCATGACCCGCAACCCCCCAGCCCTGCCAGAGGCGGCTTCCAGCCCCCTGCAAGCCCCATTTACTGCACAAGCTCCAGGAGCAAAGAGTGAGAGTGAGCCTGAGCCTGAGCCAAGCCATGGCTGACAGAGCCTCAGGCCCCACCATTCCTCCTCTCCCTCCCCCTCTGGGCAGGGCTGGGGGTTTCCTGCCCTTTTTGCAATCAGCTCTTGCAGGTTGCAACTCAGCCAGCGTACAGAGCTCTTTGCAAAAGTGAGAAATCTGTGGGTTTCTCTGATAAAAGTGGGAAATCTGTGCTTTTCTCTGTGTTTCCGTGGGAAATGGAAAATCTGGATCCCTGGTGATAAGGAAACCAAAAGCAAACATTAAAACATACAGATATTTAGGATTTATTTTGTTATGATAATAGAGACACTGGTAGGCTTCCAAATTGCTTTAACATTTTAAATATAGCAATAAAACATTCCCCATCTGATCGATCTCTCTTTCTCTTTTGTTTTAACTGTGGAAGAACATGGATTTGGAGGTATTTTAAAAAATGAATTTGGGATGCTGCTTCAGCAGTCCATTTGGCACAAGGGGTAGTGTCCCCAGATACCAATTGCCCAGGCCCCAGAAGCTCCTGTCTATTTGTATTTTCCAGTTAACATCCCCAGAAGCTCCTGAGGGCAAGTAGCCCTGTCATGGGAGATATGTAAGGGAGGATGGGGGAGCACGTGCCCCCTCTGACAGCAAGCGCTTCGGCTGGTAGGGGGGCACGGAGAGCACTCGTGCCCACCCTGAAATTGGCTCCGTGCCGCTGGGACTCCCCCCCCACCCTTCACTGATCACTGGTTGGCCACTGAGCCCCCCGCTCCCCGGTCGTGCCCCGCTGGTGCCCCCCCAGACTCGGAAGGCACCAGTAGCCCATACCTGAGCTGCTGGCCAGAACAGGTTTTTATACAGCAACTGTGCTGGCCCCAGGCTCTAGCTCCCCCTGGCAACTGTTTCATTTCAGTGGTGTTTCAGCTCATTTCAGTGCCCAAAACACCGAATCCGAGGAAGGCTCCGAAACACCTCTGAAACGAAACCAAACCATCTGAAATGTTTCAGATGTTTTGAAGCTGGGCTTAAAGGGAAACAGAAACTAAGAAGAGGGAGGGGGAAAAGGGGTGGAAGGAATGCTCTGATATTGACATCTGTAGCTGGCCAGTGTCTGTGATCTGTCCCTGAGGTCCCTTCTAATCCCAGTGCTCTGGGTTGAGGGATGGCAGCCTGCTGTCATCCCATGCACAGATCCGGGGGCCCACACCCCCCAGGAGGAGTCTGGAACAGACCCACAGCCCTCCTGGGGGATGTAGGCGTCCAGATCTGCATGTGAGATGACAGCAGACTGCCACTGCCGGTTGAAGCCAGCATCAGCACCCAAATCTGTTTGGCACAGCCTGTGCCAAGCACAGCCAGAGGAGCCATGGGAGAAGCCCCCTTGGCTGCCCTGCCCAGCCCTTTCCCCCACCTGGCCCCAGCATAGCAGGGATCGCCCCCCCCCACCTAGCACCTGCACAGCAGCTGCCCCATGGCGCAGGTGCAACGTGGCTCGGCAGGGTGCTGCACACTCTCTGGTAGCTGGGGCCACTGTGGCCGAGCAGTGCTGGGCTCTAGCTGACAGGTGGAGCTGTCCCAGCTCCCAGACAGTGCACAGTGCCCTGCCAAGCCACGCTGCACCCGCACCACGCGACAGCTGCCACACAGGTGCCAGGCAGGGCGAAGTGGGGGGAATACCTGTTGCCCCCACTTCCCACTGCCCCACGCTGCATAGGGGGGCTCTGTCACGAAACCTCAGAGGCCCTGATCACCACTGCTGCAGCCAGTGAATTAAGGGGTTTTTTTGGGGGAGTTTTTTTTTTAAGTGCCAGGACTAGGCTGGGGCCAGGCGGGGGATGGGGCCGAGCAGGGCAGCCATGGGGGCTTCTCCCATGGTGCCCCCCCAGTGGGACAGACACAGGCACAACCAGAGGAGTCCCGTCCCTCCCCTTCCCCCCAATTGTGCCCTGCTGGTGTCCCTCCCCCAGACTTGGGAGGCACCAGGTCGCCCATGCCTGAGCTGCTGGCCAGGGCAGGTTTTTAAACAGCTGGGGCCAGCACAGTGCTGGCCCTGGGCTCTAGCTCTCCCTGGCTGCAGATCCAGGAGGAGCTGGGCAGGGTTATTCTGCCCCAAGTGGCACGATTTGCCCCACACCAAAGTGCATGTCTGGGCACATGCACTGAGGCAAAAAGCCCTGAGTCAAATTTATGCTACTTCTATTTAAGCTGCTGCAAGCACACATGCTTGTATGTGTGGACACGCCCACAAAATTTAATTAATGAACTACTCAACCTTACTGAATTACTGAGAATTAAAGTTCATGAAGAATTAGGGGCTATTACAATAGGGAACTATTAAGGGGATGAGGGGGGAGAAAATGGGAATAATTTTTTATGGGAATTAAAAGCATTCCTGGCAATGCTTAACATTTTGTAACATTTTGTATCATTTTGTTAAGTAGCACCAAAGGAGAAAAGCGTGGCTAGAAAAAGATTTATGAACTGTAAATTATGTCAGACAAATCTGAGTATTAATGGAAAAAATGGTAGAGCCCCATTCTGCCATTCTTACTCCAAGGCAGTCCAGTTGATTTCAACAGGATTCCTTTAAGAATGAGGAAATATTATCGTTGAGAAAATTTGTCCCTAATTTAGTGGATAAAGAAAATACTGTTAAATTTAAATGCCTCTGGATTTTAGTCAAGGCCAGAGGGCCTTAGACAAAACCCTCTTGACACATGGGCCTCAAACCTGATGCTGTTCTGCATGCTAACACCTGGATAGCCCCACTAACCCTTTTTTCCCCAAGCTTAGCCAGCATGTTCTACTGAACAGTTAAATCAGCTGAAGAAGGTAAACTAAGAAGTGTAGTAAACTACTTGTTTAATACAATGACAGGACTTACATAAAGAGAGAATCCTTTGTTTTCTTTTCCTTTAAGAGTGCAATGCTGGGCTTCTTGGAATATGAAATTTCAAATTCTGAATCATCCAAGTCCTCCCAACTGTCTGTAGTCTTTAACAAAGTTTGCCCCCATCTTCTCCTACAATTTTTAAGACCCACTGCACTGTTTTGAGGGCCACTGGCTCCTTGGTTCTATTTTGAACAGAAAAAAAAGCTTTAAAATCATTCTCTAATTTTATATTTAAACTTCTAGTTAATTTCCTCCCAGAATGTACCAAAAGTGCTTGGAGAGCATTTTTATTCCTTGTGTGAATATAATCTGTGATCTAATCTTGGAATGCTTCTACCAGGCAGTAATGTCAATGTAATTTCTGTATGTGGCTTAATTCTGGGATCAAGCCTTAATTGACCAAATGTGCTTAAAGCAGTCCCATTTAGGAATCATACTGGGACCTTCCTGCTGGGCCCAATTCACTTCTTGGTACAAGTCTGCATAACCTTATGCCTTAAACCCCTGGGAGATTCAAGTCTGTCAGAAGTAGAGGCAACACTAGTGTAGGTCACTCAAAACAATCATAACATGAGGGGTCAAATGCCAAGTGAACAACTCCCAAAAGTAGTGAGGCCCATCTTGGGAAAGATGGTCAGGTCAAAGAATTCTTTCCACAATTCCCTCTACCACTGGATATCCTATGAAGTTCCAACCAGGTTTTAAAGCTACCCTCATTCCCCTGTAGATGAATCATCCCTTTGCTGAATTATGGAAACAACCCTTATCCCCATCCTTTAAAAATAAACCAACAACCAAACAATTGTCTTGCAGTCTTCAAATCATCGAGATATTAAAAGTTCAGGAATTAAGTTATCATTTACAGGTTGAAGAGTCTGACCCTGGGAAGTACTGCATTCAGCGACATTCAAAAGTATTCAAATATTACTTGGACAGTCAGTATAAGGTCTAATAGAAGCTCACAGACCATAGCTGGAATACCATGTCATAAATAACAGGGCTACAATGACCTTCTTAAATCTCTAATCCAGCTTCCCACTTCAACCAAAAAATGCAGGAGTTTACCTTTTCATGTGGTTATTTAACCTTTTCTGAAAACTCTTTATATTCATAGTTCCTTTACAAATAATTTATCAAGGACCAATAAATGATTAATAGATGTTACTGCTCACGTCTGTCACAAGTGCAACAAAAGTTACAAGTTACAAGAGGAATTATAATGATGATTTATAAGCAACTTACTGTTCTGTCAGATACTATAACAATTAACCATTTATTAAAGTATTAATTACTTGTTAACCCTTGATAATCTATTTATTGTTGGATTTATAATAGAAAGTGTCACCCTTTTTTATTTAAAGATGTCTAGTAGTTGTAGTATAGCTAACTCATCATTTTCATATGCAATTGCTTACATAGCATATTCCATCATGTGCTCTGTTGATTGAAAACAACTTACTGGTGACGAGCATTTGTTGATGTTTGGAAGAAATGGCTGTGGCTGTAGGGGCTGCAGCTGTTTGGAGAGCTGTTGGTTGGTTGTATTCTGTTGTAGCTGAATTTGCTGGAGAGGCTGCTGATTAATCTTTGACAGAGGCTGTGGCTGAGCACTGTCAGATGCATCAGGTGAAGGCAGAGATTCTGGCTTGGATACAGAATCTAGTTTTGATACAGGTTCTAATTTGGGTGGAATTGGCTTTGGCTCAGTTGACTGAAGTGGTTTAGCAGGACACTGTTTCTGTTCCAAATATTGTGCAGGGGGTCCTAAAACTTGGCCAACTTGAAAATAAGGATACCTCAATGCCTGTAAAAGAATGAAATCTATTGAATACATTGTACAGTAACAGAAATGCGTGCCTTCTTCACTCACTAGAGCAGAGCTTTCCAAACTTTTCATGTTGGTGACACACTTTTTAGACATGCATCATTTCGTGACACAGTAATTCAGTTCCAGGGGAGGGGCCAAGGGAAGCAGACGCGAGTAAGGGAGCTCCATGGTGCCCTTCCGCAAAATTTTCTGCATTTCGCGCGACACACCTACACACTGCCGCCGACACACTAATGTGTCGCGGCACACAGTTTGGAAAGCTCTGCACTAGAGGCTTCTAAATTTTTATATGCCAAATCTATAGCACAGGTGCGAGGTGGACATAAAATGTCCTTATATGTCTAAAATGGGGTAAATGGAAGGGTATAAATTTGAGATTTGATCCAATGGGGAAAAGGGGTAATACAGGATGGGTCTGATAGTGAATGCTGTGCAAGAAAGGGTGCTGAAATCTAGCTGACAGTTTCTGCAGGGCTGCTGCAGCGGAGTGCATGTGTAGACATGTTCCCAAAGGCTGTGCAGTAAGCCTAAAGTGTATTAATAGCACATGTAGATGTGCCCAGTGCAGTGCAATGCCATGTGGAGATATGCAGTCTAGTTGCATCAGTACCTGAGCTAATTACTAGTTCTCTGGAGAAGCAAGGTTGATTAGCCTGGGTGGAGTGGAACACAAGTGCAGCTATACTGCTTCTGGTAACTGTACTAACACAATTTAGCTTGGATAATGGTACAAGACACTGCACTGTCCTATGAAGATATAATTTTATGATGATATTATACTCAAAATACTTTGTTAATAGAGTCTAAACATCTGTGGTGCTAGGAAATACATATACTTAGGGGTTGTATTAATTATACAGTTAATTATACCAAGAAGCTTGTCCCTGGTTGTTTAGTAAGGTTTATTTTGCACTTAATAATGTAAATAAGGCTTAGCTCTGATATACCACTTTGCATTCATAGACCTAAAAGTAGTTTACAAAAGAAGCCTTTATTATTAACCTTTTAAAAATATAATGGAGTGGGGGAAAGGGAGCAAACACAAGGTAACTGACTTGCTCAAAGTTACAGCAACTTGGTGGCTAAAATAACCCATGTTCCCTGAATATATGAGAACTTGCAAATTCAGCTATAGTATGAGCCACTATATTTGAATATACTGTCCTTGACCCCTCTCTTACTCATGTTTCTCAGATCTACAACATGAGGGGATGATGTTTATGCATATACAGTATTGTGATTATCAACTAGCATCAGTATGTAAAATAATTCAAGAATGTAAAGTGCCATAAAAATGATTAGCTCGGTACCTGACTTGCTGTTGGTCGTTTCTTTGGATCCCAGTTCAGCATATCACTCATAAGCTTCAATGCCTCATTGCTAGCGTTTGGAATGAGAGTTTTTAGATGTACAGGGACACACTGTGGGAAGCGGAAATTCATGGTAGATGCAAGCTGGTATCCTTCTGGCCAGTCACTCTGTTAAAGAGAGGGTGGGAGGAATCAATCACAATAAGAAAGGGAGTTAAAACAGTATATTAATTTTTTTATATATATTTTTTAAATAATTGGTCTGAATTAAACCTTATCCAATGTGATGCATGCCTTAGGAGAGGTGCATAGCCCAAGTGGCTGAAATTCATCTTGTAGAAGACATTCACAATACTTGAAAATGTCCTAGGGGGAATGCATTAGTGACTACTGTGACACACACAGGCTTGACAGAATTCAATTTTTATTTATTTTTTAATTCTGACATAATATCTATGTTCTTGTTTAAGCATTTATTTAAATTGTTATTGATTTAAATTTTCAGGATTGTGCAAAATTAGGGGCATGGGGCAGAAAATTTATTAACAACACTATACTATTTTTATAGTGCAGTTTAAATGCTTGGCATGACAAATGTTTAACTATAGGACTGCTGCATATGGCTACACATCTTTGACACATTTAAGCTTTTGCTGGGACAGGCAGCATATAAATCAAATAAATGAATAAATAAATGATTCCAAAAGCTAACTCTGTACAGGAGTCCCACTGAAATGCAGCCTCTCAGCCTGTTCAGTCTGTGCAGGACGCTACAAGCCACTAATCGTAATACTGCAACTGCTTTCAGATTTAAAAAATGGGAGTTATGACTCACTAATAGGTTAAAGTAAAGAAAAGAAAGGCTAATTAGAAAGGCGACTACTGTTACATGAAAAAATAACAAGTAATAATGCAAAATGGAGTGCATTAAAAAAATGTGCATTTTTAAAAATTAAGATTTATGGCAAACCTTGGCCACATGAGAAAACTGCCTAATGTAACTTTTGTGTCTCTTCATGAAGTAATACATTTCATTGGTATCAAATATATCATTTACTATGCTAATTATGATAAGATCTAACAATCTCTTCGTTCAGTGCTACCAGCAATCAGATTTCCCACAAAAATATCATAGCACTGTCATAAAGGGACAGCCTCCCAGTTCCACCCAGAGGAAGAGACAGCCACAAAGGAAGGAGCCAATTTACAGTTTCCTAATCCTGGGGCGGGCTTAATAGCAACCTCAGTCCCTGGAGCACTTCAGAACAGCCTAGAAACTGTTCTCAAGAGGCTGGCTAGTAATGGCCCCCAGAAGGGACCACCTTTTAGCTTAGGACTATTGGAGCATAACATATTTTAGATTTGTCCCTACTCAATCACTTACACTGATGGCTGCATGGAAAGCATGGGACAACTGTATACTACGGGAATCCCTAAAAAAGGGAGACCACTGTTTCCTCTGGCTTCTTTGTATTGCCAAAGCAGCAGAAAAAACTTGGGATCACAGCTTAGCATCTAATCCCTCACCTGCTTTCACTCAGTACTGAAAATATTGCAAAAGTTAACGTTTGGCTCCATTACTTCTTTCAG